GAGAGCCAAGTTTCTTTGGCAGAAATCCTGGAGTGCCTGTGAATCTCCGTCCAGCCTGGACCAGGCTGGGCTGAGAGGGTGGTGAGGAAAGGCCTCCAGGCCATGCCGCAGGATGCTGCAAGGAGTGGTGGTACTGCTTCTGGTTGGGCTTTTGAGAGGACAGGGACCTGGGGCTGGAAAAACAGGATCCATCTTGCAGGATTAAGCCAATTAGCTGGCAAGGGAAGGAGCATGTGATGGGGAACAGCCTCTCCACGATGCTTTCTGCTGGTGTCAGCGTGGTGGAAATCACAAACCCTGCTAGCCCTGCCTGCTCCTTTCCCTGAGCCCTCTATTCCCCCAGGACCTGCTCTGCCACTGCTGGGCGCAGACTTTGCCACCTCACCTGCAGCATGTCCACCATTTTCTTGAGCTCAGAGGGTTTGATCCCTGACGCCTGCTGCATGGTGAAGCCCTTGAAGTTCTCAATGATGCAGAACCCGTTGATCTGGGTCTCTTCGTTTTCCAGCAGCTTCTCCAAGATAACGCAATAGGCACGAAGGATCTGATGGAGAGGAGAGACAGCAGGTCTGGTATTAGGTCTCACCTCCCATAGACCCCAGGAGGTTCCTGGGAAGAGTCCCATGGAGCATTAGCCAGGGTCTGCTTGACTCCGGCCTGCTTGTCGCAGCCAGCCCCAGGACTTCAGAGCAGGGAGGGCATTTCGGGGGATGCTCAACAACCACCACGTTCCCCTTTCAAGTTGGGTGCATCTCAGATCTGGATCAACGATATGCTGAGACCAAATTCAGAGCTGAGCAGAAAAAGGAGCTGGGAGAAGTTGTGAGTTACAATGCCTGGAGACCTCTTTGCCAAGAAGCCCTTTCCGTGCCCTGTGCCTCAGTTTCCTCCTCTGCCCTGCAGGTCCCTCCTTTCTAAAGCACCTTGATTTAATGGCATGGTGCCTTTCTTCACCCTGTGTTACCTGGGCTGGGGGATGCACACCCCGAATTTAGCCTGCACCTTGCACCGCATCAGGGTGCAAAGGAAAGGGAACCCTTTCGGATGGACCATGCTCTCCCACACTCCCTGGAAGGATAAATTCAAAGGGCTACAGATTTGCTTCAACCTGGATGGCTGGAGGGTGTGTGTGGACATATGTATATGCGCGTGTAAGGGATGCTGCGCTCAGACGTGCCGAGTGGGACAAGCCCAGGAGCGGGACCACTCTGCTCTGGGAGCGATGGCTGGGCTGGGCTGGGCTGACCTCATCAAAGGTGATCTCCTCGTAATCCCAGTTCTCGATGTTGAAGAGCATCACCACCCGGCCGTACTTGTCTCTGCTGGCCAGGATGCCGGGGTAGCCGGCTTCGATGGTGCTGCGCACGGCCTCGGGGGTCAGGTTGTCGAAGAGCTCGGGGTACTGCTGGCGGAAGTTCACGTAGCCTGGAGAGAGGCAGAAATCGGGGAGGACAACGGCTGCTCGCCCGGCCTCAGGAAACCAGGGCACCGCTTGGGAAGCCGCCAGAGACAGGGCAGGCTGGCAATGGTGAGACGTCGGTCCTGAGCCCGAGAGCTGTGGACCAGCTGTGCCCGGAGTCCACGTGGGTCAGGTCTTCTCCAGCACAGGGGGTGAGAGGTGCTCAGCCCTGGCCCCAGCGCACTCGGTGTTATTCTCCCCATGCCAGGGGCTTCCCACGCCTGCCTTCTCTCCAACACCTCAACGAGCAGATAAAGTCATTTCTCCCCTCATCTCCCTTCTCCCCTTCCTCCCCATTTGGGTGACATCCCCCAGCTTCCCTCCCTTGGCACCCTGCGGGCACGAAATTAGGAATCTCGTCCTGGGAAAATGCAGCGAACAAAACAGCTCTTCGGGAGCCAGCGCTGATAATTACAACTCATTATCCCCCAAGCTGACACAAAGAAGAGCAGAGCCGGAGCCAGGCAGGTCCCTGCCAGGGGCCACCCCCGGGGCTGCCCTCCCGCTCCCCCTCCATCCTTATGGGTCACTCTCAGTGTGGGGAGGGGGTGCCACAAGCCCCCCAGCCTGCTCCCAGCCCTCGAGGGGTCCCAGGGGTGTTGAGCCCACCAGGCACCGTGCACAGAAGCATACGGGTGGGTGCAGGATCTGCTCCTTACAGGGGTACATAGGGCATGTATAGGGCATGGGGGTCTCAAGGGGATGCAGCTCAAACCAGCTGGGTTTGCTGCACAAATGAAACAGCCTGCCACCACCAAACACATTTTTTTCCCCATTTTGTCCGGTAAATCAGCAAGAAATGGGACTGTCTTGGCGTTGCAGGATGCCTGGCACCACCCTCATTTAGTTCCTTCCCCATTCCAACTCTTTCCTCTGTATCCCGAGCCCCCAGCCCTGCCTTTTTCTATTTATCCTCTCTCCTCATCCGCTTCCCATGTCAGGGTCCTGCTCTGCTGGCACAGCCCAGACCAGGGAGCTGGAAGGCTCCAGAACGGGGCCGGGAGCTGCTGGTGGATGTGTACCCCCGTCCTCGCCCAGTGTCACAGCCCGGGACCCCTCCCCACCTTTCAGCAGGTCGTAGGCCCTGTGGACGTCGAACTTGCGGGCGCGGATGAAGCGGAGGAAGAAGGAGTCGTCCTTCCCCTGCACCTTCTCTGCCACTGCCTTGCACACCTCCTCGCCACCCGCCCGCTCCTGCACCAGCTCCCGCAGCGCCTTCACCGCCACCTCCTTCTGCTCCTCTGTCTCGTTCAGCTCATCCTTCGCCTGGGGGGGAGCAGGGAGGGGGCCCAGCTCAATGATGCTCCCCATGCATCCCAAAACACCCCAGGAGTCATTTAGGCACCCAAAAGCCCGGTGGGGTGCAGTGATGCTCACTGCAGCATCCCGGTGCAAGGAGGGCAGGGTGACCCAGGTCCTCTACTCACAGACCCTCTGGAGTAAGCGCATCTCCCCCCCAACACAAGAGCCCGTCGAGGGTCTCCTCTGACCTCCGAGAAGGAGCAGGTGCCCCTGGCTGTGCCTGCCCCCTGCGGCTGCCCTCACCTTCTGCAGGGTGTGTGGGGGGATCTTCTCGCACCTCCCGAAGACGGGGCCATGGTCCTTAGTGGTGAGGTGCTCCAGCTTGGTGCGCAGGGCCTGCTCCTCCTCTGAGACGATGCGGAAGGTGCCCGTCTGGGAGCAAGGAGAGGATGTGGGGTCTCCCCAGCCAGCCCCCCACCTCCCTGCCCCACCGCTGGTCTCCTAGGATGGAGGGGGGCTATGAGGAAGGGCAGAGCCTCCATGCCTGCACCTGAGGGGATGCAATGGGATGGGAATAGGCTGTGTGCCACCCAGGGTCCCTGCCATGGGCTGAGAGCAGCCGGGAGGGCGAGGGGTGCGTGGGGTGTGCCCCATCCCAGCGCTGCGGGGAGGGGATGCTCAGAGCCCGGGGGACGGGGCGGCGCAGGGGCAGTACTCACAACCGCAGACATGTCGTCCTCTGTCCTCCGTCAGCCGCAGGACACTGGAGAGGGAAGGAGGAATCAGCAGCGGCGGGGATCCCTTCAGCCCCGCTGTGCCCCATCCCCTGCCCCTCTTGCTCGGGCAGGGACACCCCAACCGTCCTCAGCTCCATCACATACTGCCTGCATCTCTGCCTGCCTGCCGGAGACTGAGCAGCTTTGAGAAACACCAGGGACGCTTGCAAAAGCAGCTTAAAAATGTGGGTATTGGTCGTCTGACACCTTCATCCTTTTTTTCTGGCTCGGTCTGTCCGCTGGAGGCTGGGGGCATCTCATGGGGACCCCCAATCCCACGAGCTCACCCAGCGCCATTTCATCTCAGACCATCCTCACACAGGCAGAGGCGAGCGCCCAGCTTTGGCCAGGCGGGCAGCCGGCTCATGCTTTTACTGCCTTTTGTTTCTACTGCCCCATTATCCCCAAGGTGTTTCCCAAACCCTCGAGCCCCTGCTGCTCCAGCCCAGAGCCCGTCGCCGGCTGCCAGGTTGGACCGTGAGCCTCTCGGCATCTTTCTGACGCTGTCTGGGTGAAACGCCTTGTTCCCATGCATGAGGAGGAGGAAGCCTGCCTTCATCCTCCCTCCAGCACCCAACCCTACCCCTGCCAGGCCATAGCACCGGCTCCGAGCCCAGGATGTGCGAGGGATGCTTGGCTTCAGTTCAACCACTTCCCAGGGGCATCCTCTTCCCCACCAGCTCCCAGGGAAGGGACGGGCATCCCCTTTTTCCAGGCACTAAAAGCAATCCCAGCCTTGGAGGTGCCAGGTTAAGGGAGGGCTGCGTTACGGTCTCCGATGCAAAGTTATTTTGGGTGGAAAAAGTCCCAGGTACTCACCAGGAAAAGGAAAAGCTGAACCGTCGACAGAGGGTCAGTGCACGGGGCAGAGACGGACGCAAGGATGGCGAGGCCAGAGTGGAGCAGGAAGAAAGCCGGGCGAAAGCTTTGTAGAGTCACCAGGTTGGGATTAGACCGTCACAAGGCATCAACTCACTGCAGCTTTGTAATTAAATCAGCATAACCCAGGCAAGAAACCCCATTAAAACATTACAAAAGGCAGCTGAGGAGAGGGAAGGAGGGAGCCGGGGCTCCACTGGCCAGCCGGAGCGTGCGTGGAGGGGTGGGCTGGGATGCCGGACCCGATTAACGAAGTATAAAAGCTTCTCATTGTGTAACTCGCTCATTAGCACGGGGCAGGGGCAGAGGAGGCGATGGGCAGCCTGCCACCCCAGCCCAGTCCCTCAGGGTGAGCGGGCCACATCTCTTCCCCAGCTTCTGCCCCGAAAAGCCTGGCAAGGTCCCACTGTGAGTTTGGCCGCGTGGGCAGGGCTGTGGGGACAGGTCCACGGCAGAGGATGCTCCTGGGGCCGGTCCCTCCTGGGGCTCTGCAACGAGGCCACCCAAACCAGCATCCATACAAGGCTACTTTCAGCTTTTAAAATAAAAAAAACATGGGCAGATTTTTTTTTTTTACAAGGCCCCCAGGCGATGGTTGCCTGCTTGCAGCTTTGGGAACTGGAACCCAGTCCACCCCCGGGGTGATGCCGCAGACCTGTGAGGGAGGGGAGCCCCGGGATGCAGCAGGGACCACACTGAGCAGCGGGATGGCAAAATGAGGTTTTTTGGGACATCACAGCATGCTGAAGCTGCATTGGGCAGGGGAGCCCTTGCAGCCTTAAGTCTTTTTGGGCCCAGGGTTGCGGGAGCTAGGTGAGGATGCAGCGAGGATGGGGCTGTGCACGGCTCTTTCCCCAAGCCCAGAAGAGCTCGGCCGGGCTCTTACTGTGATGGGGATTTTGGGGAGGTGGTGGGGCCGGCCTAAGCAGCGGAGCAGGACTGAAGGGGCTTACACAAGGCATGTTTTGTAATGCCACTGGGATTTACGGATTTGGTTTCCACAGGGCTGCCCTGCAAACCAACCGAGACCCCGCTGCGAGGGAGGGAGGAGGAGGAAGGCACGAGACTCCAGATGAAGGGCAGGGGGGAGCAGGGAGGGAAAACCCGGACCTGTGCCAAGACCCCGAGCGATGCCACCATGGCCAGGGGCACCACGTGCTGCTCTCCACTGGAGACCTCCCAACCTCCCTGTCCCTTTCCCACGCCAGCCCTGGCACAAGGCTCAGCTCCCTCCTAGAGCTTGTTGGATGTTTGTCTGCAGCCCAGCTAGCAAGACAGTGTGTGACGGGGGGACATCCTCAGCGTGGGGGCTCCCCAACAGACCCAACGGCCCTGCACGGGGGTGGCAGAGGGGACCTGCGCTCCCCTGGCCACCTGGGCATCCTGGCCATCATGCTCATCGCAGATAAAATAGTTTTGCAGACTCAGGCACAACCCCTGGCATCACCGGGCGGGTGCTTTGTCCTGGGAAAAGGGGTCTTCGGAAGGGGTGGCAGCCCCAAGAGGGACCCACCCCAAGGGGGACCCACCCCAAGGCGCTGTCGCCGGATCCCTTAGGGAAGCTCTCGGCCAGGTCCAGTTATCCCTCTCCCCACGGCGCCTGGCCCTGGGGCGAACCCGCTCCCCGTCGCTCAGCAGCATCAGCTCCCGCTCCCTGTGAGCATGGGGCTTGTGAAATCTCCCATGCTGTGCTGGCACCGGATCCTCCGGCTAAATCCCGCTGCTTAAAGGCAGGCTAAACCTCCTCGTGCGCCCAAGGCCTCCCCTCGTGCCCGCTGGAATTAAGGGGTTTACTCGAAGGGATACGCACCCCACGTGGGTGGCACTCGCAGGGGC